CCATCCTCTTCTTTGCCGGGACTCTACTGTTCCTGGGGGCGGGCGTGTGGCCTTAAATCGTTGTCACTCTCAGATTTCTTCATAGTCTCATTTAAAAGATTAAGATCCGTCACAAAAAGTGCTCAACTTATCAAACTTTTTCATCTGGCATAATATAGCTGGGATATGAATGGAAAACTTTTATAGGACCGATTTATCTAACAGCAGTCTCTCTTGTCTAATTTACTATATAAAAATAATCCCGGATTCAAAGAAAAAAAGGGACAATCAATAATCATCGCATCAGTACAGATAATCTTAACGCACAAATACTCTAAACAAAAATTTCCATGCAACTCGTATGATTAAATAATCAACAAACCGTATCTTGTAAAACTATTTAAGTCATGAAATATCAGAACGAGAATTCTCGTCGCCCGTACTCAAAGAGCACAAAAATTCTGAATAAAATCACATTTTCTACGATCTTCCCTTAATAATTATAATCATTCTAAAATAAGGGATATTTTTTTTTAGTAACGCTTTGATAAATTTCATTTTCATAGTGTTCTGAGAACTGAAACCTACTATGTGGAATGTTCCAGAAACTTGCCTATCTGTAAAAATTTCAGTATAGAATGTATTTGATAGAGAACTTCAAACTACTATTTCGATTTAAGTTTAATGTTTAATAAACTAGAAAAAAAAAAATTTCATTATTCTTAAATTTTTTTTAATCAGTATTATAATTTTATACGGTCGAATTAATTAAAAAAAATGTTCATTTTTTACTTACTCGCACATTCTTGTACACGACCAAATCGTGAAAAAAATTGTTGTAATTGTTGTCGAGTAGCTGAACTCGGAAAATTAGTTACATAGAGTTTTGTCTCTATAGCAGCAGCCATCTAAAATATGAACACATATAGTATTCATTTATAATATTCTTTTTTTTTTCTTCTCGAAATCAATTTTTATTTTATCATATAATGTTGATGTTCATTTCAATATAGAAGAAAAAAACAAAAAGTAATCCATAATGATGTTACAACAAAAAAGAAAGATAACAATATTTAAATCTTTTGAAATGAAGCAATATCAACTGATTGAACAAGATCTTCAAATTCCATAATACGTTCTTCAAGAATATCTGTACCAACCTAAAATATTATTTTAAGTTATAAATAAAAATAAAAATAATTTTAATATATTTACTTTATCATCTTCAACAACACAAGATATTTGTAATTTCTTAATTGTATATGCAAGTGGTACGAGACGAGCTTAAAATAAAAATTATTTCATTACAACAACAACAAAAAAAAAACCTAATCTCAAACTTACAAGCACCCCAAAGAAGTCCATCTAATTCAATCGAACGAACACTATCTTCAAGTGCTTTCATATCTGTTTCATCATCCCATGGTTTTATCTAATTAAAAGAAAACAAAATAAAGGTCTTTTTTTTTTTGAAAGAAGAATTTTTTTGTTTTGGTTTTCTATACATCAAGAACAATGGTACTTTTAGCAACAATAGTTGGTTCTAAAAAATATAAGAGAATATTTATATATCTTTATTTCGAAAGATCTTCTCTTTTTTTTCTTCTCTATATTTACTTTTAGCTTTTTTTTCAGCATAAGCAGCTAAACGTTGTTTTGTTTGTTCACTTTCGCCTTCATCTTCATCACCAAATAAATCAACATCATCGTCATCAGCAGCTGCTGGTTTTTCAGCTGGATTAACAGAAAGGGATTTAAATTCATGTTTTTCTTGATGATCTTGACCAGGTTGTCGTCCATAATGATCAAGTGATTGACGTGTACCTTGGAATCTATATTAAATGTTAACATTTTACATTCGAATAAATAAATTAAGATTTTACTTTGTTTTTTCTGCATCACTAAATGAAGCAATATGATTGTACCAGCGAAGAGCATTTTCAAATTCATTTGCTGGAGCTTTCTTTACAGCTTCGAATACAACAACATCACCTTGTGCTGGACGATATCTTTTAAAATAGAACGAAATAAGATATAATTTATTAGAATACAAAGAAATAAAACAAACCCTTCGATATATGATTTATCCCCAAGAAAGGTATTCAGTAAACGAAGACCATCAGCAGATTGAAGATCACCGAAGCCCATTTTTGTTATCAGATGATGAATAGAATAGAAGATGACTCTAGAGAGAAAAAAACAGATCAAGTAAGGAATTTCTTATATATCTTAGTTGTTTTTCTTCTCGTCATTCGTTTGTATAAGCCAACGGAACAGAAATCCATAGTTTATTCATCCAGCTGTTGATATCATTTAGATATTTATTTTTTTTTTAATATTGAAATCGAACCATAATGGAAAAGAAAAATAATAAAAATAAATATGAATTAGTTATATTTAAAAAAAGATAATTAACGAAATATTTATTGAATTTTGTTCAAAGTTCTTATTGTTTGAGGAATTGTAGATGCATAAATGATTTATATGAGTAGAGGTTTTTCCGTACATAAAGAATTGCAGAATGGTAAATAATAACTCAAGAGATTTTGCTTGTTTTTCTGTATATAATACATCATATGGTGACATAAAACCTAGTGAAAACTGTGTAAATCAATGTCAAATACATTTAGAGAAGCGACATCTAGATTTGGTGAAAATATATACATGAAAAAAGTTAGCAGCAGATTCAAGTTTTTCTTGTTGATATTCGTTCCTGAACTTGTGATGCATGCAGAATTCAATTATCTTTGACATGGCGATATTTTCGAAGGGCGTCATTCATGAAAAATAGCAGCTTGAACCAAAATATCGAGTTTTGAATGCACGTCTATGAGATTATTACTTGTTGATTTCTCCTGAATGCTAAGCTGAGCAGAGCTAGCAGCGGATTGTATTATTCAGTACAATAGTCGACTGATGAACAATATCAAAAAAGGGATTGACTTTGCAAAATAGCAAAAGGAGTATGTTTTGTCGTGAATACCTATGAAAAATTCGTCTCGCAAGAAACTAAAAATTTTGAGAAATTTAGTTTTTAACAACCTGTTTTGAGTAAAAAAACCGAAGCATATGTGATAAATGTTTGTTCGAAGAATTGTACTACTTTTGTGAAACTTTGTGCTAGATAGAAGCTGATAACGTCTGTCGATTGGTACGAAATTTTCGATTTCCTTTAAAATAATAAATAAGTTTCCTTAAAGCAGAGCTCATAGAAGAAGTCCTGATCTTTCTCAGGCTATCACAATTGCATCTTTACAGTAGCGCTCCACCACTATTAAAGACTTGAAAATGTTTGGCATCTTATTAGAACATTGCTTTTTTTGTCGCTTGTATTCATCGTTAAAGTAACCATGTTAAAATTAAAAAATGCAAAAACATCGGATTTAAATCCGAGTGTTATGTGTACTTCAAAAAGTGAAGAGGTATATTCACTTTGTTTTTTTATCATCTGAGACATATCTAGTCAATTTGCTTTCTTCAAACAGTTTTTCTGCATTTTGAGACCTTTTTCAGGGGATGTTTTGTTAGAAAGCTACGATTTGGTTCAAAACTAATATCAGATTCGGAATCAGCGTTAAAAACTGAGTTGATTTATATATGTTGTGAATAATTCGGAGAAAAAAGTATTTTTTCGAAAAAATCCCTGTACCCCCCCTCAGGGATGATCTGGTCAATAATGACAATTTTTTCGATAATTCAGCCATTTCTTGACGGATCCTGCTCATCTTCGAGCTCGACCGAGACATTGTTAAGACTGAACTGTGTGGAAAATTTCATTGCGATTGAACTCTCTTTTCAAAAGTTATCGTGTAAATGGCCGGCCGGACATACTGACCGATTCTAGAGTGTACTCACTTTTTGAGTACACAAAAAGAATGAACAAGATTTTAACGCTCAATAGAAAATATTATATGAGTCTTCTTATGTGAATGTGTAGGTGCAATAGAAAGGCATATCCACATATATTCACGTCCATCTATCAGATTAAACGTTTGTGACATAATTATTTTAACATCCATTATTTCACTGTTAATCATATCTTAAATTAATATTAAACCATTGTTCACCAGAAAAAAAAAGTTTCTTATCATGTTTGATAATGTTGCTTGCATATTTTTAATTATGAATGGTAGATTTGAAACAGAAACTTTTATCGGTTGAACACAATATTGTGCTACAAATGCTAATTGTGGTGGAACTAGTATTAATTATGATCAACTAACGACAAGTTTCTGTAAATCAGGAAAATATTGTTAGATCGATAAATATGATAATGGTGGCCATTTTGATTATCTAGTTTAATTCTTTCCCACTGTGATTGAAAATTATTACTTAATTGTTTTTTATTTCAAGGTTTATTCTAGCTGAGGATCTCAGCTCGTATATGTCAAGGTATTCTTACTGAGAACGCTGGTATCAATGTGATATATAGAAATGAATGGACATACCATAATAAGTTTTTGTGTCAACTAAACATGATTGCTCAAAAGATAATAATTACCTTTTACCTTTATATTTTCAAATAAGAAAATCTAAGTTTATATAGTTTCACCATTGGTCATTGATTAGTCCATAATAATCAGTTGCTCAACTCTCTTCATTCGAACAATACAAGGAAAACAATATTACTGCTCCATCTCACTATTCATACCCAGTCAAATACATTCGAAATACGCACAATCAATACAGCATCATCGAAACCTATATGAAATTAATTTTTGTGCTATAAACCTACAAAACTTTCTGTACAATGCAAGTTCATATTCTACATCCTCCTGAAAAAACTCATCCAAAAGGATATGAGAGTGAGAGTATACTTCAACTGAAAATCCACATCTACATCCACTGACATGAATAACTTTCTGTATAATAAGGAAAAAATGTTTGAAATTCAAGGTTCCTTTTAGAAAGTAGTGCAATTACTTCGAACATTTTCGTTTTCTATAAAAAAACAAATCATCAGAAACACGAAATAAAACAAACACTACTTGTATTAATTGTTTCTCTTACTCCTAACCCTCAATCTGCAGATCCATATATTTGTTGTCATTTTCTAGAGTGCTATGCACTGATTCTTTAGTTTCTTAATTTAAAGAAGAGTGCCATTCACATAAAACAATAAGTATTATTTGGTCATGCATATTGCTTTTTAAGTCAATGTACAAATCTACTATATAGTATTGTAATATCGACTCGATAAACGATGTTCATCAAGCAGTATATGAATTATCACATAGTTTAAGTTTTAATAAAATATTATTTCTTTGAAGTTATTCGACACGCCACGACTTACTTCATTTAAGCTTGTATTGAGTTTTCATTTTGACACGAATATTCTATTCGAACAGATTCCTTTCACTCTCATAGATATAACAAAAAAACACAATTAATATACTATATTTACCTACGTTGAAGAAAAAAGAAAATGAACAATTTCTTTTCTGCAATGCTTGACAAAGAAATAGACTTACATCTTGTTTTCATTCATGTAAAAGACGTTCTCCTTCCTCTCTACATCTCACATGTTCCAGCACTACGATCTTCACTCGTTTTCAGGTCATAAAAGTTCGAAAGGGTTAAGTTTCAGGTATATAAAATAATGTTCTCTCACGACTTTTAACATTTTTCATAGTTTTATATGTAAACAATGCTGGCTTATAATGATAACAACATGAAAACATGCAGAGTAAAGTATCGTTAGACAGTTTTTAATCTACCGATATAAATGAGAATTCGATAACCAAAAATGAGATGATCAATAATCATATATGATTCTTGGTATTCTAGGACGCGTGAAATTTCAATGTGTCAAAATGTAATCTAACCCAAGTAGAATTTATGAATTTTGTCTCATTTAAAGTAGGCACATTACACTGGGATATCTTCCCTTGTAAGTATGATTAACATTGTATTGAAAAGATCATTAACATAGAATGAATGTTCAAGAATCAGTTCTTTGGAGTATTCACTTTTTCTTTTTCTCTGACAAGAATATTTGAAAATTTCTCATGATGTGAACAAATCTTTTTTTTGAAAGTTTTCTTAGCTTGTAAAACAATGTATACCTTGAAAAATGAACATAATGATGGTACAGAACATCTTGGAATGGAATGAAAGAAAGATAATATCGAAAATTGAACTTGGAATAAATAACATTTAATACTCTACTGCTTTTTCTCAGTTGGAGACTAAATTAACAATGATGTATTTGGTTTGCTTACATCTCTAGATGTGTATAATGGACAGACTTCATATTACAATCGGCTTATGTTATATTGCTAGTCGGATACATAAGTCGAGCTGAATATGAAAAGAACTTCATGAACGATCAGTGTCTACCATTTAGTTAGAAAGAGTTGAGAAAGAAGTCGACGATTAATCAGAAATATACGAAAAGAAAGTGATGAACGACATAATATTTACGTATTTTGATTAAGATTCGAAGGAAACAATACCACATAAGCAGTGACGTATCCAGGATTTTTCAGTATGCTGAATCTTGACTTTTGAGCATGGGACCCAAATGATGGAATTTTATCAAAAAAAATTTGTACTCGGAGTTTGCGAAAAAAATTAGCATTTTCCTGATCCCCCCTCCTAGGATTTTTTACTGTTAGTATTATATTGGATTTTAGAATTTCATAGGAAGCTATACCGGATT